ACTGGCTGTATTCCTTTGGATCTGCCTCAGGCTTGCTTATCTTTAAGGACAGCTTGAATTCTGTTATTCATTGTATTCCATGTGCTGCCTTTCTCAAATTCACTTACTCCTCTGATATTTCCCATTGTCCTAATTATATATGTGAAAATACAAATGATAGTTAGTTTTAACTAATTGCTATAAGGTTATTTTCTATTATAAAGTTAGCTATAAAATGTAAAGTTGTACAGCTAATTCCACTGTTAGCACTTTGTAATTAATGGGTTGTGAACAATCTATCTTGCTCAGGATGTAAGAGAAGGTGTTTCCTACACTTCTAGGTTTAAATCTTTCTTTTCTAATGCTTGTATTATACTTTGGTTATGTGTGTACCTATCCTTTATGTTGAAAACTACTTCTATGATTATCTGAAGAATCTTTAACTAGAGCCAATTTCTTAATATTGTGAGTAACTTGAAGAAACAACTATTTACTACAAAATAACTTTAGCTGTTGTCTTTGCAGCTGCTTTGGGAATTAATCCGGCTGGCTCATGGGCTTAGACTCACACCTGGTGTTATTCATTTACTGGGACAATCATCCCTTTATTAATGAGGCTGGAAGTAATCACTTGTCTGTTCTTATCAAAACTATCTCAGATAGTTGGTGGTAAGGCTCTTTTGCCTACCTTGAAGTAGTCTTGTTTTAAGGTACCATAATGTTTCACTTCAATATTAGAGCAGGCTGTCCCATTTTGTTTTAATCCTTGTTGGCTATTTTGTGTCATTGAAACATGAGCCACTTTGGTGTAAGCAGGTACAGGTCACTTTGTATGGACAGATAAGATCACCGACAATCTATAAGGTTACCCCTCAAACTCCTACACTCCAGTGAAAAAAGTCCCAGCCTATCCAGCCTCACCTTAGAACTCAAAACCTCCATTCCCAGCAACATCCTGGTAAATCTCTTTGAATCCTCTCCAGCTAATAATATCCTTCCAATAACCAGAATTGGACAGAGTACTCCAGAAGAGGCATTACCAATGTCCTGCACAACCACAACATAACATCCTAACTCCTATACTTAAAGATCTGATCAAGGAAGACTAGTGTGTATTTTAACCACCCTATCCATAAATGATGCAAACTTCAAAGAATTATATACCTGAACCCCTAGGTCCCTCTGTTCTACAATGCTACCCAAGGCCGTACTTTTAATTGTAGAAGTCCTGCCCTTGTTTGTTTTACCAAAATGCAACATTTAACCAAATTAAACTCCATCTGCCACTCCTTAGCCCATTGACCTAACTAATTAAATCTCTGTAATCTTAGATAACCTTCTTCATGTCCACTATTCCACCAACCTTGATGTCATCCACAAACTTATTAACCATGCTTTCTATATTCTAGTCTAAATCATTTATATAGGTAGGACAGGATGGGTCACAGTCATGGGGAAGGCCAGGGTGGGGAGATGGAAGGGGTCAGTGGGGATCGGTTTGATAGTTATTTTGGAGTTATAGCAAGTTGTAATCCCTCTAGTTACTTTCCTCAGGAAATATTCAGGTCAGTGAACACTCTGACTCTAACTCTGGGCTGTAGCTCTTTCTGGAGGTTTCCAACTGTGGAATAATTACCAATTGGATGTTTAAACTTCCTGGGTAGTCAGGAAGTGTCACGAACTCGAGGCGTTCCATTGCACATCTTTCAGGGAGCCTGGCTGCAAAGATTGTCTTCCAGTTGGAAGATCTAGACCAATGTGTATGATTTTATGAGGCACACTTGTAGGTGGGATCCCACATGAAACAGTAATTTAGGTCATACATTCTGTATAACCTCACTGATGTAAAATGATTAATTACCTGGCTTACTTTATAATTTTTGCAATGTAAACTTACTATTTAGTAGATTAGTGTCACAGTGTACTTTATTTGCAATAGATAACAATATATGTCCTCATTGAATATCCTGCACACTTGCATATTTATGCACTTTACACAAGTTCACACTTCCCAGGAGTTTTGGCAGTTGCTGCAGCATCCTACGTCACAGCTAACAAAGGAGGGAGAACATGGATTCCTTTGGCTATCCCCCTAGTGCTTCAACAAATTAAATGAGGACAAATATATGAATCTAAAAATCAGGTGCTATATTCACGACTGTTAATAACCCACAGGACCTACAGTGCCTACATCTGACTGGATGTGTCAGAGCAGGCTGCCTCTTCCACTTTATTACTATTCGCTGCATGCTGACATACTGACAACTTCAAGGAATGGGATGACCTTTCCTGTGGTTTGGAAGTTCACAGTATCATTAAGCCTCCACACAGCAGGATTATTCCAGATCATGCAAGCAACACTCAACAAACCAATCAATCTGCAGTTATATCTACATAAGGCAAGTGACTGAAACCATTCTAAGAAAAAACAAACTGTAAATACTGGAAATTTGAAATTAAAAACACGTTTTGATGGAAGTGCATAGATGTCACTCAGCACCTTCAAACAGAATAGACAACTTAAAAGTTTTTTGTCTATAAAATTCATCAAAAGAGAAAACCAATAGATCAACAAATCCTTAGCTACAAATCTAAACTTCAAACTAAATTCTGTTAATATTCTGCAGATATGGCAGCAACTGTAGGGAGAAAAGCAGAGTTAATGCAGAGAATGCAAGCTTGAGCAGGCAAATACAGGAGCAAGTTAGAATGTAATGTGTCTGGTAAGCCAATTGGCACATTGCCAACTCCCAATGATCTTGCCAGAGGAGGAGTCAATGCCACAAAGGTTAATTGCCTGGCAACAGCGCATACCCAATCGAGGAATATTAATGCGACTCTGGATCTTCCTGACAGCAGATAGGAGCCCACTGAGATTGCAGTCCAGCATTTAATTAGAGCCAGTGTCTTGCTGACATGTAGGAGGTAATTAAAGCCTTCTCTCACTCACGTGAGCACGCATCTGTTGGGACGCACTGGCTACAGCTGCAATCACAGCCTAGCAGCTGTTTCCATTGGTGTTATTTTAATCTTTTCCAATACTGCAGACAGTACCAACAACGCCCCCACTGTCTCCTGTCCTGCCTCAGCATCACCATACATCCAAGTAAGGCAGTCAATTGGATATCACGGCAGCCTCTGCTGTTGGCTTCCTCCTCCCATACTCCACCCAACCTCCTTAACTGTTTGGAGCTTTCCTCCTTCAGGTCACATGCTGTGATATAGTAATGATATCACCATCATATCTGCTAAAGGTAAACTGATGTATGAGACATAAATCACCAAAGCAATTGCATTGGGTACCAATGATCTGTAGGCATGGTCCTAAATCATCATTCTGCCGTAAGACAAATGGACATTGGCGACTCCACAAATAAAGTTGAAATTCCTGGTAGGCAATGGGGAAACTTTATAGAAAAGGCACAGTTTAGAGGTTCAATAAGTTGGAAGTAAGTGAAGTGTTTACAGCTCAAATTGAACATCACTGCCATAGTGAGACATGGTTGCTGTTAGGGAAAGCAAGGGCCCCGGAAACAATTAAAAATGAGGTTGCAGCACTGGGGAAGTCAGAAATTAGTATGATAAAGGAGAATTTCAGAAACCTAATTCCAACTGAGAAGGAAAGTTCAAAGACTATGGAAGCCAGGGGAAGTGATGGCCCAGTGGTATTATCACTGGACTGTTAATCCAGAGACCCAGTTAATGTTCTAGGGACCCAGGTTTGAATCCTCACATGGCAGATGGTGGAATTTGAATTCAATAAAAAAAATCTGGAATTAAGAGTCTAATGATGACTGAGAATCCATTGTTGGTTGTCAGGAAAAACCCATCTGGTTCACCAATGTCCTTTAGGGAAGGAAACTGCTATCCTTACCTGATCTGACCTACATGAGACTCCAGACCCAAGGCAATGTGGTTGACTCTTAATTGCCCTCTGTGCAATTAGGCATGCTCTTATCCTGTGAATGAATGAATAAATTAGAAAGAAAGTAAAAGGTAGGAAATCCATTACTTAGTCCTTGGTAAACTGTGGGAGAGGCTTACTTAAAGTACACATAGCAGGACTCATCAAAGAAAAAGCCATGAACTCAACAGGGACTGCTATTTAGAGACACAAGCAATGGAAATTAACTAGGAAAATCCTTAGTTTTGGCTCTATATAAACTCTGCAATCTATTGATGGCAATCTTATTATGGAATAGTGTGTACCGTTGCAACTCAGTTCCTAGTGACTCAGAGTCCAACACTATCTTTCCTTATTCACTCTTACATAATAATGGCAGCATTAGGAAATAGAAATGGTGCATACAGAGATAGGAAATGGGAAAGTTGTGTGCTACCATTTATTTAGATGGTACGACATTTGCCTGAAATGGTTATATAACAGGAGGCTGGTTTCTCACTCCCAAAATCTTGGACCAAAATTTTCAGGAAACAGGTGTGAGTTTCATTAGGGCTCCCATGATGTTGTATGGACCCATTGTAATGTTGAAGTGTCAATTTTGAAGAGCATAGTGTGTGCAATGCTTGTGATTGTTGTAGAGTGGCTCTAACCAGTGGCATTCAAAGAATCTCCACAAGCTGTGAACATAAAGATTTATAAATGGCTTTGCAGCATCCGAAGTGTCAATTTCCCACTAGCCCCAAAAGATTTCACAGTCACAACCACCCAACCTCTGAATCCTCCCTGAGGATTACATCCCCACGACTTCCACTGGCCTACAGTAGCTGGGTTTCAAGGGCAGATGCTAGATTTTATATCCCTCCTAATGATGAGTTGTTCCATGCGATTTACTATGAATACTAAGGTAGCCTGATCATGAAAATGCTGCAGGTTTCTGATCACTTTAATTGAATCACTCATGGGCTCAGACTATCAGGCCCCATCAATAAACACAATCATATGAAAATATAGTCATGACCCTTAGTACAGCATAATGAGTTAAGCCTCCTTTCATCTCTGGTTGACAGCATCAAACTTTGACTGACTTTCACAGCACTGTTGAGTATATGGAACAGACTTTATTCAGATACCATAGATGGTCAATCTATACATTACAAAGGTAGATCTTCTTCAACTACTTAAATAACTTTGCAGAACTCTTCTTAGGTATCATAATAGCTTTCTTCAATGCATTTCATACGTAAGTAGATGTTTGAACTTCTAACATATTAATATTCTCGTGATTAGCTGCCTCATGATGGAGCTTCCTCCAGATAATCAGGAGGACAGCTTACATACTACGGAAAACATATCCCTCTGCTTATGTTTGTTATACTAATTACTAAATATATATTGTACTTTAATTACTCACAGTCAGTATTATTCTAGTCATTTAATTTATAGAATCATAGTAATGTACAGCATGGAAGCTGGCTGACAGAATCATCCAGCCTTTAGCTCTTGGCCCATGGTCTTTTACATTAGGGCACTTCAAGTGCTTATCCAAGTACTTTTTGATTTCTTATTTGTACTTCTATAATGAGAAAACAAGTGAAAATTTGGAAAGGAACATAATTCTAGTTCATAGGAAGAGTATTGATCCATTTCTCCTCCCATCCAGAGCAACTCTATCGGTGTATTAGTCATTCGGTTCAGTTTATTACCTCAACTTTCTGACATATTCAGTAACAAACTTTGGAAAGCATAGTGTTTTTACGCAAATTCCAATACACAGATAAACTCAAGTAATCTTTTCTGCCAAGGAATATGACAAAGAATCAAACCTGTGGGCATTTGGACTATCATCTGTGTGACCTGACTGAAAGAGTACAATCCTGTAATACTAGAATGATTTCACCGTTCCTTTTCCACCAACACAGAATTATTTCTTTACAAAAACAAGTGGTTTAGAAGATTTTGTATATTGTTCAGACATTCCACAATTTTGAAAATTAGTACATGACTAGGGTTAGTTAATAACTTCAAAAGAAGTTGGTTCACCAATATGGCATTTGGACATTTAAAAATTTTGCATCTTTCACAGTCATTTAAGTAGTAGTTTTTGAAGAAAACAGTGATCATAAGAAGGATGAGGGGTAGTTTTACTTCTGTATGTAATTTTAATCTACTGGTCAGTATACTTCATTGATCAAATTAAATTAATCTGTTCTAAAATGTGTTTGCTTACAAAGTGATTCCAGTATGAGATCAGTTCAGTTACTCATTGGCTGCCTTTTTTTTATGTTTTAACATGTTATTTTCCTGAACACATGATCTTCGACAGAGATTTTCATTAAAGCCAAATAATATTTTCTCTGAACTTTCTTCAATCTCTTTATCTCTCAGTGCACCATCTTGTTTCAGGACATTAGACCTTTATTTAGCTGCTTCATATGTCTTTCCACACAAAGAATAAGATGTTTTAAGTTGGACTTTCTGGCCATCTTGTGGTGATGAATCACTATTTTCACCATTCAGATTCTCTTCCAATCTATGCACAAACCAGTTCTTTACAGCTGGAGTAACTTTGGCTTCTTGGAGCCATTTTGGTTTTGGAGTTACTGCTGTGAATTCAGATGCTAATGAAATATTAGCTAACTTACCAAACTCTTTCTTTCCAAATACACTCTTTTTGCTATCTATTTTATTTTGCATTTGTTTATTTGCCACTTTTGAGACAACAGTTTGAAGATTTTTATCCAATTCTGGTTCTTTTTCCTTCACTTTTGCTTGCAACTCCTTGGGTTTCTTTGACTTTCTTGAAAGCAGTTCATTGAATGGAAGATTGTGTATAAGATGTTTTCTACTTTTGGAATTGCCATTATTCAATTCTTTAGTTTGAGGTTTATTGCTGAAACATGGTGAATCTCTTTTTGTCACTTTGAAAGAGGTTGGTTTTGAAAACGATTTTACTTCCATTGGTTGATGCAATAATTTAACCTTCTGTGCCTTCTTGCTGTTTGATTTCTGAAATTCTTGATTGTCTTGCTTTGAATTTGGAACCATGGTGGAGTCCACTTTGCATAAATTCATCAGTTGATTTTCTAATGAAACAAAATATGGTTTTGAAGATACTGTCTCAGTTGTGGATTTCCGCGTACCTGGGATAAGGACTCTTTTCTTTTTCAGCTCCAACTTTTCTTCAGTTATTTGTTTTTCAGTCTTTAAGGTTTTAATTGGGTTTTGGCTAATAGATTTTTTCACTGCATTTACAACAGGAGGTGACACTTTTGCATTTTGAGCACTTTTATCTGTGCTGAGTGAAATCACACTCTCATTAATGTTTATATTCTTCTTTGAACTGTTTTTTATTCTGTTCTTCATCCACATTTTAACCTTTTCTTCAGATTCTTTTTGCCTCTTTTGACGATCAATTTCTTGTCTTTTATTATTTGCTTTTTCTAAGCGTCTCTGCTTCTTCTTCCTTTCTCTCTCTTTTCTTAGTAACATATTCTTTTGTTGAATCCACTTCTTTACGATATAATCATTTGAATTTTCCAGATGATTGTCTACTGGGATCATAATTTTCTTCTTCTGAATATCTTCACTCTGCTGTTTAGTTTGGGTTCGTATTTTCTTTTTCCATTTTTGAATGTGTCGAATAGACACATTTACATTTGGGACTGGATTGGAACGCAGAACTCGTAGCCCAAACGGCTTCATCACGGTAATGATTATTCGGGGCTTCTCAAATATCTTTACATTACCTTGTGCTGTTTTACTTTTGTTTGTTATGTTCTTTTTTTCCTTTTTAACTATATGAACCTTTGCTGGACATGGTGGATTTTGAGACAATGTGTTTTCATTTTCTTCAAAGTTTTCATTCATCCCACATTGGAAATCTTCAGAATGATCAATACTGATTGCTCTGGAGAGCCGTCCCGTGTTTAAAGAAGTCAAATTATATGTCTCAGCCCTACCAGGCTTTTTATGTGATGCTCGATGAAGCAGTTGCCTTGGGTCTGTCAACACATCAGCCAAACACATTACTTCTGCATTAATGAGTAACTTTCGTGTCCTATCTCCTTCGGTGTTCTCTTGCAGTTTCACTCTAGTTTTATCCCCGTTCTTTATCTTCGACATTTGTATGTAAAGATAAACTGTTTTTCCAGAAGCATTAACTCCTTAGATTGTGTTCAAATATTCCTAGTGGAGTTTTGTTTTATTTTGGTCTAGCAGTAACCTGACTCACAGAAGAACATATGCTTTTTGTAGATATAAGATTAACCAAAATCAATTATGATTGGTGTTCAATCCTCCTAGGATAAATCAGTATGACGAAACCTACAAATGAACCACAACCCAGAATTAAACCATGGGAAATTCACATAATTGCTCCAATTAGCAATTTCCAGTATTTATATAATCTAATAATGTGGCATGTGGTATTGATACAGCACAAGATAAAAGACTTTGAAATACTTCCAGAATACCATATTTTCATAAACACATTATCTGTTTGAAATATTTTCGATCAGTTAAAGCTTGCATATTGTAATGTACTAACTTCTTTAATTTACAAATGACCTCCAGAAAAACTACTGATTTATTTGCAGCAATTACATCACAATCTTATCATAACCCTATGACAATTGTGACTTCTATCTCAATAGAAAAAATAACTGAAGGAATAAAATTGCCTCATCAACTAAGAATGTAGACAAGACAATGAGGATAAAATTTAAATCTACAAAGTATAAATATGTGAAATAAAAACATGCAATGCATAAATTTGCAGAAGGATAATAATTATTTCAAAAATAAAGACTGGTTAACAGTTTTGATTCATTCAGGAATTATGTAAGACCTGTCTTTTCCTTTCCATAATGAAGCAGAACAAATTGCTCCCAGAATATTAAAACCAAAGAAGTTTAATAAGGAAGCATTGACGAGATTGGCTTCAATGAAAAAGACTTGAGGAAAGTAACAGCCCAACTCCTGGTAGTTTAGATTTAATTGCACAAAAATTGATCTGTGAATATTGAACTGCAGTGCAACATCACTATAAAACAAAGTAATTCACTGCATTAAGTACTTCTAGATATTACAATGTGATAACATGCTAATTCATTGACATTCTTAATTATATAAACATTAGAGTTGAGGTATGTTATTGGGCAAGGGGATTTCTTTATGTGTAACCTAAATGGATCTGACATGGGAGTGTTCGAGTGCTATTGAATTGCATTTAAGCTGCGATGCATCTTTGCTGGAAGGGTTTGGTTTAACAATGCTGTCTAGTGAGAAAAATAATATGGATCTCCAGCATTGGTATTCTTTACTATGATGAACATAAATATTCACAGAAAAATAAGGTGAAGTGAAAACTCCAATTGCAATTATTACAATAGTAAACGAATCCTTTTTAAAGGAAATTTGATTATCTGAAGATCTTACACACTTCTATTTCTTGTTATCACTGCAGAGCAAAGATACTTCTAAAATGTAAAATTAAAGAAACATGATAATATTTCTGATCATATCCCACTGTTTTGAAGAAGAAGTAAGTGATCATGGGTTTTGTTGTTCCCTTACAACTGCAAAAACCAACACAGTTGATGAAAGGTAGTTTGTTGAATGAAATCTGACTTTTAATCCCTGCCTTTCATGGTTAGATCTCACTTCCATTATACCCATGAGCTGCATGCACTGAGACAGGACTCATAGGCTGCTCACTATTTTTGGGAAGAGGAGGATAATTCCTGAAGATGTGTATTCTATAATTATGCATACTGCTTCTGAGTCCACAAAATTTTTTTAAAAATATTTCCTGTGGACTGTTTCGTGAGTGGTCTTCAGCAATACCCTGTGGAACTATCTGCTTGGGTTGTTCAACACATCATCCAAAAAAATTGAATGACGGCACCCAAATTTGGTTTGGGCCCCAGATCTTGAAATAAGGTTCCCATTTTTGACCAGACTTTCAGAAGATGCTTTCAACAGCTTGGTAAAACTCTACACTGAGTTTTATTGAACATGATGAGAACTCAAATCACATAATTTCAAATATTAACAAGGGGAATTAATTTGAGTTCAATTCAATTAATTGCTTTTATAAATGTATAACTTGCTAGGAAGGAATGAGTTGCAGAGAAATGAGTCAGGGTCAGATGGTACACAAATTACTAAGAATTACCAAGTGGAATATGGGGAAAACTTTAAAATGGAAAGCATTGATACGCAATGGTATTAAAACCATTCCTCGGAAATTAATTGTGAATATCAAAAAACTAAAATACATGATTCACTAAATAGTAATAACAGAATTACACATAAGTTACAGTCTAGTTGACCTCTTCTTCCTTACTTAAAATGTATCACTGATTGCAGAGAAGCTCACAAAACTAATTTACATTAAAAGGAAATTAATCTTGTAAAATATTATTACCATGAATGTTTGTTATTGCAGTGAAGTCTAGAACTATGAAAGGATATAGCCACTTGAAGCATTCCATTTTATGATAAAATATTTTCTTATATCTTTCCTTCAGATAGTCTGTTCAGATCCTTAAATTTGAAACAATGTACATGATATACATGAATAGTTATTGATAAATTTGAAAGTAGCTTACTGAATAACTCCTGACACCCTTCTTCCGATTTATTGCAGTGCTCCCTGAGCAACTGTTATGTAATGAGAGGTTTAGAAGTTTCATTTCCGTCCTGTGTCCTTCACCATTCCAATTTGACTCTGAAGCTTCAACTTTGTTGATCATGCCAGCTTCCAGCTGTTGCTAGGCTCTGAGCAAGTGATTAGCTGGTTGCTATGGTGGCAAGAGTTGTTTACCAAATTTCCTGAAAAGACTGAGGTCTCCATGAAAAACTGAATTTTGCAAAAATGTGATTAATTTTGCTGTGAATATGTGCCATCATTATGTCAAAATGTTAGCTCTCTGACTTTAAAATAAATCATACTTGCACTGCTCAAGCACCCTAATGTGGTGTTTCAAGGCATTTCGTGCCATAGAATTCTTTTGGAATATACTGTGAGTGATTACAGATATTGTGGGCAAAGAGGGCAGCTATTCCGCATTCCTCAAGTTCCACAACGGAGGAGATCAAATGAACAATTTTTTTTAATGTAGGACTGGGAGGACAAAGAAGAATGCTAACTACAGGAGAGCTCTCTGATAATTTTCAATCAGTGCAACAGATTTTAAGAATATTTTGCATCCAGCTGAACTACTATAAAAAGTAGATAATATATTAACAAATGATAAAACATCTAACAAACACAAGCATCAGCCTAGATCAGGCAGTTCGCTTGGTGCGATTCTACATTGCACAATCATCTGTCTGATAGGCAGTGTCATTGGTTCAACTAATTTAATACTCGGCAAAATCAAAATACTGCAGATATTGGACATCTGAAATATAAATTAAAAATGTTGGAAATACTCAACAGGTCAGGCAGCATCTGTGGAGAGAAACAGAGGGTGGAATCTTACCAGGCTCTAAGTGAGATGGACTATGGCAATATGAGCAATAGAATTGGGTGACACTATGGCGAGGTGAGCGGTAGAATTGGGTGACACTATGGCGAGGTGAGCGGTAGAATTGGGTGACACTATGGCGAGGTGAGTGGTAGAATTGGGTGACACTATAGCGAGGTGAGCGGTAGAACTGGGTGACATCTTGATTTCGATGTCATCTCCCTGCGTCTTGTTTCCTTTTCTTGAGTGGTAATATTCTCACTGGTGGACAGGCTGCCAATTTCAGCCCATGCCCACACTAGTGCATGTGGGGATTGGGTCAGGGCTGTGTGGGATGGTGCTGCGCTAACCACCTGTCAAATGTTATGTGAACACCAGTCAAAAAAAAAGTCAGCAATGGGATGGATGGAGCACAAAACCCAGGACAATGTTTCAGGTCGATAAACCATCATCAGCACTGAGGCTAGCTAGAAGTGGAATAGACTTTGAGCAAATGAAAGAGGGGAGGAATGAAGAACAAAAGGTAAGGTCTGAAATAGGGTTGTGGGCTGGAGAAATTAAATAGCAAATGATTGGCGGGGGGCAGTGATTTATAGAAACAGTTACCCTCAGCAGGTAACAGTTTGGTGGTAAGGTGTTCTTCTCAGCATCATCTGGCACTTACTCCATTACTATTCCTTTGTACTGCAGGAGAAAAAGGTCAGTTATAGCCTGGAACGTTGAAGACTGGTGAAGGAGTACCAGACACTCATGATCAGACCCTAACGAGATGGAGGCACTTGAGTTGTCCGAGAGCAAGGTGGTCATTCTTGTCAGCTGAAGAGGTTTGAGTGATAGTTGTGGAGAGTGAGGGGGATTGCTCTGAACTCTGCTGCAAAGGAAGAGTGCTCCACTCAACATTGAAAATGATAAGAATGAGTTATTGAGAAAAATGATGCAAGGAGGAGCCGAGTCAGTCAGCGTTACCTGGGAGAGAGTTACTGCTTCAGATTCAGCAGAATGCCAGGATTAAGAAACAAAATCCAGCTGTAACATAATAAGAAAATCTGAGGTTGATTGGCCAGTGAGTAATGTTGCTTGGGGACTGAGGCTAAGCAACCAGGAGTTTAAAACAATATTAAAAGTAACATGTAAAAAGTGAGTAGTTGTCAAGTTTTTTGTTGTATTTTTACATAAAATGCAGTAAGTATGAGTAGGGTTTATCAGTATTATAATAGTTTATTAATAATAAGAAGGTTTATTATTATGCAATGCTCTATTAGCATTGGTAAGGTTTATTACTAGCAGCAAGGTTTATTAGTAATAATAAGGATAATAGTTAATAAATAAAGTATTGATATGGGATAGCTGCAAACTTAAGAATGCGTGTGGGCACTCCAAGATATTGCTTCAATTACCATTTGTTGACTTTTGCAACAGCTTGGGTTCCAGCGCTTCGACAGCAGCAAGCGTCATTGTGGTGAGAAGTGAATCTGAGAGCTACATGGATTGTACATTTAGAGATGCATTCACCCTGCAGCTTAAGGGTATAGAGTGAGTCAGGGAATGAACACCCACCAGGTAGTCAAAAACAAATAAACAGGTCATTCAGGAGCTCCTTGAGTGGATCTCACTCTCCAACCAGTACGGAGTTCTGAATACCGATGAGGTGATGGTTCATCTGTGGGGGACATTCAAAACTCAGTCCATGGTGCCGTAAGGTGGCTCAGTTATAAAGGGGAGGAGTGTTCAAGGAGGACTGGTAGAACAATAGTGATAAGGGTCTATAGTTGGGGAATGGACAGACACCTTTGTGGATGCAGATGTCAATCCAAGATTGCTTTTCTCATGCCAGAGGTATAGATGTCACTGGGCAGCTACAGAACATTATGGTGTTGGAAGAGTGACTAGCAAGAGGACATGGACCATGTTAGTACTGATCACATATATAGAAAAAAAGGATGAGGTGCCAGCAGATCTTAAGGAGTTAGGAAAGAAATTACAAAGTAGCACCTTAAATTAATAATCTCTGGATTATTCCCAATTCCACATGTCAGTAAGCATAGAACTAGGAAGTGAAAGCAGATTATTGCATGGTTGGAGGGATAATATAATGGAAGGACTTTAGATTCCTTGGGCATTGACATCAGTTCTGGGAGAGGTGGGATTTGAACAAGCCATATAGTTTGTACCTAACAGGCCAGAACAAATTATTTTACAGTTGGCCAGGTTTTATATTAGTTTGGTGGGGGCAGTGGAGGGATCTGGAGGGTGAATTCAATTGGGATAAAATCATGAATGGAAGAAAAAAGCTGAAAATTAGTGAATGAAGATTAGAAAATGTAAAAAGAGAGTTTAGCAGTGCTTAAGGGTTTATGCTTCAATGCAATGAGTTTAGCAAATAAAGCAGGTGAGTGCAGGACACAGATAGAAATGCACCAACTTGATATTATAGCTGAAATAACTCCACAGAGGCTGATATCCCGTCACAAAGTCACGCTTTATCCACACACGAACAGTCCTTGACTCTGGTACTGCCTCATTCAGGGTGGCAGTATCTCTGACATTCTTCTTTTCATCTGTCAGCCGGCACTCCCTGATTGGATCAGATTAACAGCCTCAGTCAGGGAACTCATATTCTATAATGTCCAGGTGGCTGACCTCGTTACAATCACTACAATAGCAACTCTAAAACATAGCTCAAAAAAGCACAGAAATGGCAGCTGAGGTGCCTAGTTACAAGGCTTTAAGGCAAGTTAGAGAGGGGGATAAATAGGAAGGAGAATGGGAGGTGATGGCCTAGTGGTATTATCACTGGACTGTTAATCCAGAGACCCAGATAATATTCTGGGGACCAGGGTTCGAATCCCGCCACAGCAGATGGTGGAATTTGAACTCAATAAATATCTGTAATTAAGAAACTAATGATGACCATGAATCCATTGTCAATTGTTGGAAAAACCCATCTGGTTCACTAACATCCTTTAGGGAAGGAAACTGCCATCCTTACCTGGTCTGGCCTACAAGTGACTCCAGACCCACAGCAATGTGGTTGACTCTGAACTACTCTCTAGGCAATTAGGGGTGGGCAATAAATGCTGCCTAGTCAGCGACACCCTCATCCCGTGAATGAATAAAGAAAAAAAAAATTTGGTCAAAGAAACAATTAAAGGTGTGAGAAAGTCATGAAAATTGAATTAAAAATCAAAAAGAGGTATATACTATAGACCCCCAAACAGTCAGAGGTAGATAGAAGAGCAAATACATAGGCAACTCTGAGAGGTGGAAATGACACAGCAATAAAATGAAATGGGATTGTTTTTGTGTGAAAAGTAACAGAGGGAGCAGAATTCTTGCATTCAGGAGAAATAGTTTGGTCAGGATTTGCAAGCCCAAAAAGAACAGGCACTTTTCTGGACTTAGTTTTAGAAAATAAAACTGGACAAGTGGAAGGGGTTGAGGTGGGGGAGCACAGAATTCAAAATTAAGGTGTCCTCTGACATGGTGGTAGTGTCCCAGCCTCTGAGCCAGGAGGCATGGGTTCAAGTCACATCTGTTCCAGAGGTGAGTAATAACATTTCTAAAAAGGTTAGTTAGAAAAAACCTAGAATTCAATTAGTTTTAACATAATTATGGAAAAGATCAAAGATGGAACAGGAGTTCAAGTTTTAAATTAGGATAAGGTCAATTTTTCTAAGCTGAGGAGTGATTTAGCAAAATTGGACTGGAAACAGCTACTTGAATGTAATTAGTGTTAGAGAAGCAGCAGGCATTCAAAGAACACGGAGTAAACATGTTCCCATAATGTGAAAGGGAGAATAAGCAAATCTAGTGTGTCCTGGATATCAAGGAGCATGGATAGGATAGGAACACTTGTATCAGATACTGACAACTCAATACTGCAGAAAGCCAAGAGGAGTGTTGAAAGTGCAGGGTTGAAAACAAAAAGGAAATTGTGAAAGCAAAGAGATAAATGCAAGAATACTGGCATGTAAAATCAAACTATAAAATCAAAATTTTTTTCTATCAATACATTAATAGTAAGAGGATAGCTGTTTCGTAGTACAAGAACTTGAGAATTACTGTCAATAGACACATTTTGTCAAAGCTTTTCTTCAGGATATTTCACAAGAATTAAAATTCAGCGGAAGAACAACATCTCTACTGCATGAGAGAGTGCTGATTGGTTAGCAAGTGGACTCTACTTGGTAGGGATGTCGCCATGGACAACGCACCCATTAACGTTGATTGATGGGTAAAATTT